CTCTTCCTCCCTGCTTCTTTCACATTTGCTTTCTTTTTTTCCCTGTCTTTTATCAGTTATTAAAAACTATGGGCTGTGGCTAGAGAGATGGCTTGCAATTAAGACACTCTTCCAGAGAACCTGGGTTCAATTCCTAATGCTGCTCGTCACAGACTCTCACTCTCATTCCATGGGCTCTGGCTCCCTCTTCTGACCTCTGCAGGCACTGGTGCACAGACATGCAGGCAAACACTACATATACATAAAAACAAACCAATCTCAACTAGAACAAAGCTGAGGAGGGCTGGAGAAGTATCTCAGAGCTTAAGTGTGTGCACTGCTCTTGCAGAGGACCATAGTTTGTTTCCTAGTAACCACACAGGACAGCGTCAGGGGGCTCTGACATCTCATATGTACACAGTCACACACTCAAGCACACGCACACATAATTTAAAATAATAAATCAGAAAACATAAAAATAAATAAAACTTTAAAAATAACCTGGGTGGATATGGTAGCACATACCTGCAATCCCAGCACTTGGGAGTCTGAGACAGGAGCACTGCCATTTAAGGCCAGCCTGGGCTACACAACAACACCCCATCTCAAACAAACAGAAAAAAGAGACAAAACCAAAACCAAAACAACAAGAATAACAAACTGTGTGCAGATACTGCTGTAGGCATGGGAATCAACTGTGCCTGTCAGACTGGGTCCCTGTCCTTCAGGAGCCCACAGATAGAACGTGCCAGACATTTGCACCCTGTGAGAGCAGAGCTTGGATAGGGGAGCCCTGGCAGACATGTGAACCTGCAGGCTGAAAGCAGCCTGGAGTCTGGGTGTCGGGGACTTGGAGGAAGCAAGAGAGATTTCCAAAAACATGGCAATCCTGAAGCTGAGAGCAGTGTCACCATGCCTTGTCCTCTGCAGTTCCCAGTGTAAGAATTCTGAGAGATGGGGGCTGGAGAGATGGCTCAGTGGTTAAAAGCACTGGCTGCTCTTCCAGAAGACATGGGTTCAATTCCTAGCACCCACATGGTAGGTCACAACTACCTGTAGCTTCAGTTCCAGGGGATCTGACATCTTCACACCAATGCACATAAAATAAATTTAAATAAATCTTTAAAAAAAATAATTCTGAGAAATATGGAGTCTGTGTGGGTGATGAGGACGTGCCCCAGGATTGGATCAGTTCAGTTTTCATGAGATGGGGTAAGCTCTTGCAAGAGAGGCAAGTGAGGCATAGCTTGCCTCAGGCCTTTCTGCTTTCCACCAAACTATGATAATATGAGGCCCTCCCCGGTGTAAACATACAGACACCTAGATTTCCCAACCTCAGAGTCATAGCAACAGAACACAGCCTAAAGCAGCCTGCAGAGAGAAGAGGGAACGTGTTCAATGCCACAGAGGGGCTGTGCTGGCTTCTCCCCAAGCATGGCCTTGAGCTGTATGTGGATATGTACAGGGGAGGGGACAGGGGGTGTGGACCTCATACAGGAAGCTGGCCCATGGAGAGAGCCTTCCTGTTCTGGATGTCACAAGCCCTGCATGATGGAAGTTTGACATCAGGCTGTGCGCTGTGAATTTTCCTTGCCTCTTTCTACCTGCTGCCGTCTCCCCGTGTTCCTCCAAGTCCCTTGTCACTCAGCATCTCTCTGACCCCTGCCTGTAGTCACATGGCATTTCCTTGTTTCCAGTTTTTTGTTTTTGAGAGGAAGTCTCATGTATCCCAGGCTGGCCTCAAACTCCCAGCCCTCCCTCCTCCATATTCCACCTCCTAGGATTATTCGAGTGTAGGCACTGCCATGAATGGTTCATGAGGTACTAGGAATTGAGCCCAAGGTTTCCTGCATGCCAGACAGGCACTGTACCAACTAAGCTACATTCCTTCCTGGCTTACTTATTTACCTCTTATTATTTTAAAGATTTATTTATTTTAATTTCGGGTGTATGAATGTTTTACCAGCCTTTATGTATGCCAAGTGCATAAGCAGTCCAGAAGAGGGTGCTGGATCCCCTTGAGTTAGAGTTAGAGGTGGTTATGAGCCACCATGTGTGTTCTGGAAACTAAATCCAGGTCCTCTGGAAGAACAACTGCTCCTAACCAGCGAGCTATTGCTCTAGTCCCTATACTTAAATTTTAAAAAAATATATAGGGTCTTGCTACATAGCTTTGGCTTGATCCTATGCCTCAGTCTCCAAAGTTCTGGGATGACATTCGTGCATCACTATGCCCAACCATTTGCTGATTTGTGACAGCTCAGGTTGCAACTTCCTGCCTTAGATTCTCTCTCTCTCTCTCTCTCTCTCTCTCTCTCTCTCTCTCTCTCTCTCAAGATTTATTTACTTATTTTATGTGTTTGGGTGTTTTGTATACATACACATCTGCACACCAACGAAGGTATCAGAACCCGTGGAACTACAGGTGGTTGTGAGTTGCTATGTAGTTGCTGGGAATTTAACTCAGGACTACTGGAACAGCAGCCAGTGCTCCTAACTGCTGATCCCTCTCTCTAACCCCTGCCTCGGCTCTTGAGTGCTAGGATTATAGGCCTACAATACCATGCCTGTCTTCCTTTTAAATGATTAAAAAAAAACAAACAGATATTACTGTAGAATTATCTAATCCTAATTTGATGGCATCTATAAAGACATTATTTCCAAGTAAGATCTTTGTCAGAAGGGACTTTGACATATACTTGGGCAGGATATAACTGCACTAATAAAAGAAAGGTAGTTTTATGATTGTTTCTGTATGCATGGAGTTTTTGAAGGGGGTTGGGTTTTTTTGTTTGTTTGTTTGTTTTTCGAGACAGGGTTTCTCTGTGTAGCTTTGGAGCCTATGCTGGCTGGCTTCAAACTTACAAAGATACACCTGCCTCTGCCTCTCCAGTGCTGGGATTAAAGATGTGCACCACCACTGTCCAGCTATGGGTGTTGCTGAATTGAGCTACTGTGACCCTGTTTTGGGATCACACATCAGGTCAGCAGATGCCTGGTTAGTCCAAGTGTGCTCTGGCCTGAAAAAATGCAACACCTCCTGCCCTCTGTTGTCCAGGAGTGGCAAAAGCACACTGGAGCCCACAGAGCCATTGCTCCTGACTCCCCCAGCTGTGTGGAGACATCAGTTCTCAGGCCATGGACATCACTGCTTTAGCATCAGATGGATCTAGGTCTCCAACCTATTTCCTCTCTGGCAGCTTTGCTCTATGACCCTAAGACAGTTTCTCAGCCTCTCTGAGTCTCCATCCCTGCCTTAGGGAAGCATCGAGGATCACCCATGTTCCCACACTGCTCATTATCCAGAAACCACTCATTCAAATATTAATTATATTAATAAATATGTGAATGACTTCAAAGCTCTTAGGACCAGCAAACAGCAAGTGTCAGGGGAGTAAGTTATATTTCCAGAACTTGCTATCTGCCAAAGTTGTTCTCCTTAGATCTTGAATGGCCTTGATATAATAATAGTTAATAATATAAGAACATACACTAATAATTAATTGGCATTTTTAGGCTCTTTGAAGCCAAAAGAGATGTAATTATGAGGTTTCTTAATCCAAGGATACCATCATATCTCTAGCATATAGATTTGGGGTGAAATATATTTTCCTAGGAATAATCTTCTCTTTCATCAACTAAAAAAAGGTGTGTGTGTGTGTGTGTGCGTGTGTGTGTGTGTGTCTGCAGAGCTCAGGAAACAGTGTGGGATCCTCTGAAGCTAGAGCTAAGTTCACCTTCCTGAACCTTGGTTTATAATTTCAGGAAGTTGTTAGACATTTAGGTTTGGTATAATCAGCACTTAGATTAAACTTGGTATAAGGAATAAGGAAGTCCACAATTGTCACTTGGCTGTGACTTAGGCTACTCTGCTCCTTGCTGGAGCAGCCGGAAAGGACCCTGTTACTTGGAGACACTGGTTGCAGGGAGTTACAGCTAACCTTTTAATGGTGACATCTCACCATGCTCAAGTGACTTGATAGCCATCATATTGTCAGGACATAATCCATAAGAGGATTCAGACAAATACGGGCTATTGGGTGGATGCCAGGTGTTTTTGAGACTGAAGAGCAACAGTGTGAGGCAGTCTGGGATGGCAGTGAGTGAAAGGGGCATTGGAGATAGAGGCTTCTAGCTGGAGGCCAGGAAAAGGCCACTGAGTACAGAGTGAATTGGTACTGAATATGGAAAGGTATTGGAGGGTCTTTGGCACATGATACTTCCCCCTCTTAGAATGTCAGTTCCCACATCAGTAAAAGGATAGTAATGAGTTACTGTGCTGATGTGACTCAGGGCTGGCTGCCCCACGCCCGGTGGAATGATCCCAGCCTCCCTGTCCCATGCAGTCACATGCACACACACACACTTCATGCATACATTCATTCTTAATCTCTGCTTTAATCTGGTCACCATTTCTGCCAACCAGGTCAGAATTTACTTGCTGTATAATCTTGGCAGCAATATCCCCTTCTTGGTTTGTCACAGGGGAAATAATTATAATCCCCAGGTCTCTAAATTTTTGTGTTGGAATGATGCCCACAAAGCACTCATCCACCAGTACCAGGTTCATAACCAGTGCTCAGTCACACATGTGGTTCTTCCATGTTTGGCAGCTTTGGAAGTCATTGAACCACACATGACTTCAGCAAGTAACAAACACATTAGGCCGCTGCCCTCCGCTGTACTTCATGCTACAAACACCCTACCAAGGGTCCCATCCCAGAGCTCCATCCAGTCACCACAGTGAGGCCAATTAACAAAAACACATAAAATTCCTTTACTTCTGAGTCTCCCCTTGTAAGAGGAAGCTGGAAATAAAGGAGATTTAATAAAAATGGCATAATTAGTCAAATACTTCTCGGTTAGGCTCTCTTGCGCAGAGAAGAGACCAGCCCCGGCCAGCTAATAACCCCAGGGGACCCCAGGGTGGCACCAGGCATGGCTGGGGAGGCTAGGTGCCAGAGGCTCCCTGGCCGGCCCTTCTGCAGCAGGGAGCCAGATGGGAAGATGGGCAGGGTATGTCACCACCTTAGGAAGTCCCTAAGGAACTTCCAGAGTTTAGTGACCCAGAGATTGGCGCCAAGGTCAGACAGGTACTGGATCTCAGGCGTCAGCATGCGCCGGCAGAGCTGCTCGTGATGAGGCCCTATGCTCTTCTTGAGGTTGTAGCCCAGGATGGACTTGACGCCCAGGGGCTGCCAGGGTTGCATGGCCGAGTCCTGAATGGCCTCGGCGTCCACCGCTTGGCCGCCATCGATGCAGATGCGGCGCATGCGCTCGTTGGCTTGGCGCAGCTCGGCCACCTCACGCACCATGCGCTCGCGCCCGAAGGCCTCCACCTTTCGCCAGAAGCTGGCGTTGAAGTGGTGGTAGAGGCGCGCGTCCAGCAGGTTCCAGGCGGTGGCACGGCGGTACAGCTCACCCGAGAGCCGCGGCACCGGCGAGTCGCGCCGCGCGTTGAGCTTGAAGTACAGCATGTCCTCCAGGTCCCAGCACAGCAGCTCCCGGAGCAGCACCAGGGACTCGTCGAAGTACTCCTGGAGCAGCACCAGGTGGAAGCGGCTCTCCACCTCCAGAATGTGCTCTTGCACGCGCGGGCTGCGCGGGTCCAGGCCACTGTCGTAGCCCAGGTCGAAGAAGAGTAGGTTGCGGAGGTAGTGCGCGTTGTAGCCGCTAGGGTCGTAGTAGCGATCAGGGTCCTGAAGGAACTCTGCCAGCTTGTCGCGGCTCGAGAGCTTCCAAGTGAGTGGCACCACCGACCCAAAATAATGGAAGGAGGACTCGAAGAGACGCGCGGGGTCGCGGATGACCGTGATGAAGGCGGCACCGGGCCGCACCAGCCCACGTACCTCTTCGTAGTGGAAGCGCATGTGGTTGCAGATGATGTTGAAGCACGCCCCGGGCCGGTAGTCCTGCACCAGGCTGCGAGCGAAGAAGGAAGGGTAGTGGAAGTCGTTGCGGCCATTGGGGAAGGCGAACTTGAGCCCATGCTTCTGGCCGAAGCGGAAGAGGATGTTGAGCAGCGTGCTGCTGGCGGTCTTGTGCGTCTTCATGAACACGATGTCTCGCCGAGGTTGGCACTCTCCAGCAGAGCTGTTACCGGAAGTGGCCGCCCCGGGCTCACTGGGAGCAGGGGGGCAGGGTGCAGCAGTCTCCGAAGTCCTGGGGGAGACAGAGGGATGGAAAGAGGTCGGGGGTTGCAGGTGACAGTACCATCGGAGGGGCTGGGAAGAGCTCGATCTGGAATAGCCTGGCAGCTACCACCCGCTAATGCAACCCTACAGGTTTGAACTCATTGCTTTGTGGTTGCTAGACAAGCACTCTACCAACTGAGCTGAAATTTCCCCTGCCCGAAATTGCTGGTGGTGGTGGAGGTGTGTGTTTTTTTAAAATAAGTTATTAGCAATATTTTTCAGATTACCTTAATACCACTAACTGTGGCATAGTTTGCACCAGATATATGCTGAGCAGCCTCAAGAGGAGATGGGATAGTCTGGTCGCTTAGGAAAAGGCTCACATAAAGCCAAATTTGGAAAGTTTGAATCCAGGTCCTGAGCCAGATGAGTGTCTGGGACAAATCACACTCCATCTCTATCCTGGCCTCACTGTGGCCCTGACTTAGGCTCAGATTATAATTCGAGCACTGGGGGATGCAGCTCAGTTGGTACAGGACTTGCCAACCACGCACCAGGACCCGGTTTGATCCTTAGCATCTTGTCAATGGAAAATGGTGATGCATTCCCATAAACCCAGCTCTTGCAAGGTGCAGCCAGGAAGATTAGAGGTTCAAGGTCCCTGGATTCATAGGGAATTGAGGCCAGCCTGGGATACATGACAGAGTGTCTCAAAAGCAAAGCAAAACAAAACCCCACAATAAAGAAAAGTATGGGGGGGGTGAGGATAGGGGAGGATGGGAGGGAGAAGGGAACTGGATTTTCATGTAAAACAATCTTGTTTCTAATTCAAATAAAAAATATCTGAAAAAAATAAAAGTACACATATTGTACTAAGCTCAGAAAAAAAAACAACAAAACAAAACAAAACAAAAATCATCCAAGCACTGGACACAGTGTTAGATGACACTCCTGCTCTGTGGGGCAGGCTCTGCCCTTATCTCCACTTCACAGAGGCACACACTGAGGCATGGGTTGTATTGGTATTCAGGCATCTGTACTGGCCTGTCCTTGGGGTTCTGACAGGATACGACCTCAGCTGCAGCCACTAAGAGCACCACCTGTGCCTATTCACTAAGTTCCCTTTTAAAAGACCCTGCCCACATCCCATCCTCCTCTCCTTTCTTTCTCTCTTTCTGCTTTTCTGTCTGTCTGTCTCTCTGTCTGTCTCTGTCTCTCTCTCTCTCTCTCTCTCTCTCTCTCTCTCTCTCTCTCTCTCTATATCTCTCTCTTCTGCTCCAGAAACCAGTCACCCCCTCCCCTCCCCTTTTCGCATTCCCTTTCCCCTAATTAAAAAAAAAAAAAGCCCTCTATGTGTGCTCTGTCACGTGGCATCTTTCTCTTGCCTGCCTCTTTTTAAAATTACAACAGGTTGCACCAAGAATTCTGCCAGAATATCTGCCCAACACAGCATGACGCAGGTGGTACAAGGTAGCTGTCTAGAAGAAAGCTGCGATTGTAGATCATGAAATTGTCCTTCTCTTACTCCCATTGTTTGATGTCACTCACGTGAAGGCCATGTTGGAGTGGAGTGGGGGTACCACATAGGAGTACAGCAGCAACAGGAAACTGGTAAAGACAGCTCCCAGCACCAGCCCCTTGGCCTTGGACTCCCAGGGCTTCTTCGGCAGCAGAGGCATCTCAGGCAACTGTTAGGGACAGTACAGACAAAACAGAAGTGTCGAGAAGTTAGTCTCAGAGAGTCTGTACAGCTGTCAGGGCTCACAACAGGGGGCTGCTTTTGCCAGTTCTTTGGACTCCCAGGCAGGATGCTCACAGGGCTGGAGCAGTTAGAGAGGTAGAAGACAGCAGGCTTAACTCAAGGAGAGGAGGCAAATGGGCAGAGAGAAGGTTCTTCTGAGCACAGTTCTAACTTTAGCTGACTAGTAAGGACACATGTGTAACACCCTCCTTTGTAGGCCTTTTGGACTTTATAATGAATGCATTCTGAGGGACAGAAGAAGAACCCTCTTAGTCCTCTTAGTGCTCCAGACCCTACTCATAGGGAAGGCTAGAATCTTTTCAGAAGGCAGAGCCAGTCTTCCCTGTCTAATTCACCACCTTCCCTGCTGCAATTAAAACTGCTAACTCAGCTTGGCAGTGGTAGCACAAGCCTTTAATCTCAGCCCTTGGGAGGCAGAGGCAGGTGGGTCTTTCTGAGTTTGAGGCCAGTCTGGTCTACAGAGTGATTTCCAGGACAGCCAGGGCTGTTACACAGAGAAACAAACAGACAAAACCACTAACATTTTAACAGGGTGTCTTGCTGAGTTTTTGTTGTGGTATTTGTTTGTTTGGAGGGAGTGTGGTTTGATCTGGATGCAGTGGCCTTATTCACAGGAGACAGAGATGTGAGTGGTGAGGTCCAAGCTTCAGAACTGGAATCCAAGAGAGAGTTGAAGCTGGGGATAGAGGGAGGTGTAAAATCAAGGTCTAAAACTTTCCAGTTCTCTCCCAGCTGATGCTCCAAACTCCTGAGGCTGCAGAAGGTCATACACAGTGCCCCGTGACCACATGTGTGGCGTGCTACCAAGTGCACCTGGAGGCAGCACGGCCAGGTAGCTTCGATGGGAAAGTTACCTAAGGTGCTCATGACTGCTTGCTGAGAGGAGCCCTCCAGGCCCACCCCCAGAAAAGGTGGCAGCACTTGCTGAACCCTCAATTAGGAAGTTTGCCTCACAGAAAAGGACTGAGTGAAGCAGTTGTTAGAGGAAGAAACCACACAGGAGGTGGCTCCTCAATTAGGAAGTTTGCCTCACAGAAAAGGACAGAGTGAAGCAATTGTTAGAGGAAGAAACCACACAGGAGGGAATTTTTCCTTCCCTGTAACAATAGAGAAGCACTGCTCATTCTGTAAGCTGGGTAAAGGCTGGGGAGAATGTTTCCAGAATGCAGTGGTGTCAAATGAGGCTCACTGACCTGTCACTATAGACAAGTGTATAAAGTGTACCAAGTCATGTGTGCCAATGGCAACTTGATTAGAAACAGAGAGAGAGAGAGAGAGAGAGAGAGAGAGAGAGAGAGAGAGAGAGAGAGAAACTTCAGTGAGCATCGTCAAGGGAAAAAAGGGACGTCATATATACCAGGCCCATTCCCAGAAGTCATCTATAGATGAAAAGAAAGAAAGAGAAGTGAGCCAACCTGAAAAACAACATGATCTAGTTGCTTGCTAACATTCTTGAGGCCCTGGGTCAATTCCGCAGCAATGAGAAAAGAAAGAAAAAGAAAGAAAGAAAAAGCCTGGCATCTGGAAGACTGGGCCAGCCTAAGCTACATGTCCAGTTTGAGGCCAACCTGAACTACATGAGGTCCTGTCTCAACACATGAACAGGAGGCTGGAGAGATGGCTCAGCCATTAATGGCTAGACTCACAACTGAAATTGTAAGAGTACTTGCTGGGCTGGAGTTCAGTTCCCAGCACCCATGTTGGGGAGCTCACAACTGCCAGTAACTCCAGCCTTCAAGGGATCTGATGCCCCTTCTAGACACTGTGGGAACGCACGTGCCTACACACACACACACACACACACACACACACACACACACACACTTTACAATAAATAAATCTTAGTCAGACAAGGTGGTGTGCACCTTTAATCCCAGCACTTGGGAGTCAGAGTCAGGCAGATCTCTGAGAACTCAACACCAGCATGATCTCCATAACTAGTTCCAGGCCAACCAGGGCAACATAGTGAGACCTTGTCTCAAAAACAAAACTCCTCAAAAAAAAAAAAAAAAAAAAGCAAAAGCAAAATAAAACAAAACAAAACAAAAAACCCTAGAAAATTCTAGAGTGATATGCACTACTCCTCCCAGTCCATATATGTACCTAGGTAAATATAGATGATAGCCTGGACAAAAGCAAAATGCTGCTAAAGGGCGGGGCAAGTGAGTGATGCTTTACCAAAAGTGCTTAGAGATGTTTCTGACTTTGTACTTTTTATTTTGGGGTATTTGCATATGCACAAAGAGCTATCTTGGCAGGCGGGGGAAGATAGTACAGCTGGTAAAATGCTAGCTAATCAAGCATAAAGATGAGTTCAGTTTTTCTAACATCCACACTAAAAACCAAAAGCCAGGTCAATGCATGCTTGTCCTAGTGCTGGGGAGGCAGAGACAGGTGGACCCTGGAGTTCAGTGGCCGCTTAGCCAGTCAGCGAGTTTCAGGTTAGTGAGAGACCTCCCCTCAAAAAGTATGGTGGACGAAACTGGGCATGGTGGGCCACACCTTTAATCCCAGCACTTGGGAGGCAGAGGCAGGTGGATCTCTGAGTTTGAGACCAGCCTGGTCTACAGTTTGAGTTCCAGGACTCCAAGGCTACACAGTGAAACCCTGTCTTGAAAAACAAACAAACAAAATAAGGTGGCATGCAATCAAGGAAGGACTTCATGTTGACCTTTGAACTCTACATGTGTGTGCACACAAATACACACACTCACATGAACATGTGTATACACAAATCAGGTATCTTGATAACAGCCAAAATCTAAGCATGAAATTCATTTGTCATACGCCTAAAATACATAGCCAGAAAGACTCTTACACAGTATTTGCAGTGCATCTTTGTTTTGATGTAACTTATCACATGAGGTCAGATGTGGAATTTTCACTTGTGGCATCATGTTGATATTCAAAAAGTTTCAGATTTTGGGTTAAGGATACTCATCCTGTTTTCTACATTTCTGCAGTCTAATCCTCTGAGCCCATCTGGGGGGAGGTATAGAAAGAAATATTTCTCTAATTTACTCATTTTCACAGCAGCTGCATTTTAAAAATGTTCACACATACTATTTAATAGGAAAAGGGACAATATATTGCCTCTACATCAGGTTTAGGGTTTTGCTCTTTTCTCCCCTAAGAAACACTGGGATTAACCTAGGGTCTCCAGTATTCCAGGCAAGAACTCTACCACTGAGCTATGCACCGGCTCACACTTTAAAGTTTACAAAGTGCAAACCAGATGTGGTGACACTTGACTGTAATCCCAGGGGAAGCAGAGGGTCAAGAGTTCAGGCTAACCTGGGCTACATTGTAAGACAATGCCACAAAAACACCAGTCAGGATGGGACCTGGGAGGGGAAGGTGTGAACCTCAACATCTGCTTTGTTTGTTTAATTAATTTAGAGGCAGGACTCACTTGTAGTTCTGGCTGTTCTGAAACTCACGATGTGGACCAGGCTGGCCTCCAAGTCATTGAGGTCTACCTGTCTCTATCAACAGGGTGCTGGGGCTAAGGGCAAGCACCACCACCACCACCACCACCCGGCTGGTCCTTGGCATGGGCATCGGATCCCTCAAGGCTGGACTTTGACACTAACTTCCGACAAGCCTGGGATCCCCTCAGAATCTTTTTCTCATCTGTAAATTGGAGAGAAGCTGAGGAGATGGAGTCTGGCTGGGCCCTGGGGAGCCTCCTGAGCGGTGGGTACCCTGGTATCACTCAGAGTGTCGGCTGTAACCCTCCTGAGCTCTGGGCAAAGAGTAGTGGTACGGGGCTGGGGGAGCTGCCCAGGAACTACAAATCTGCCAGGTGAGTTCCGGTCAGCCACCAGCCTTCTGCTCCAGGGGCCCCAGCAGAAAGCCAGCTCACAGACCAAAGTTCAGGCCCAGAGCAGACAATGAGCATAGGATAGGGACTTAGTTTCTCTGGCGTTAGAGGGATCAAAAGTCTAGCTGGCTCTCCATAAAGCCTGAAGGCCTACCCTGTCTCGGTAGCTCACCGGCGTATTTTCCTGGAACTCCGAGAAGCTGCCCTGGTGGAGGTCTGTGGTGGAGGACTGGCAGTAGGGGGCAGACCAGCATCCTAAGCTGCCAATCAAGGGCTTTCTGGCCCACCGAAGACGGTGTGTTTCCCCCACCCGTGAAACACCACCGATTCACTGATTCCCTCATTCTCCTGTTTGGGTTTTCCCAAACCTCACCAGGTCTCTGTACTGAGCCCTGATGGGGCCACTAGAATCTCCGCTAGCAACTGACTGCACTCTGAGTATCATGGTGTTGTACCACTACCCCATTTTGTAGATGGGGAGAATGAGGCTCCAAGAGATGACATGGCTTGGTCAGGGTCACTCAGCAGGTAAAAGCAGGGCAGGATTTTGAGTCTGTGTCGTGGATCTCCCACTCGTAGCTTCCTGCTTTGTACAGCTCCTGGCTGGGATATCTGAATCCTGGGCGAAGTAAGTGACGGGAGGGCAAATGTCAAGGCATAGCCTGGGACTCGATTGTCTGATGTTGGTGAGCAGAGCTGACAGCCAATATGAAGGGCTGGGAAGCAAATGGGACTCAGGAGGCTGGTTCTCCCGAGCCAGCCTCCAGTGATATTGAAGGTTCCCTACTCCCTTGCTGCTTGGCCTCTGTGAGTTTAGCAATGAAATACCTTCTGAGTCTGTCTCCTCCAGCAGATGGTAGTTACACAGTAGCTAAGTCAGGGAAGGCAGGACCTCCTCTCAGCAAACTTAGGGAAGCAAGCAGCTGTCTAGTACCCAGGAACCTGGCTTGATGGAGAAACACCCCAAAGCTGCCAGGTTCCAATGCCAGGTGATTAACCAGAGTATTAATTATTAATTGCAATGTGGATTAACCATTGCCATCACTGTTGACTAGGATCCAGTCCTGATTCACAGGAGGTGTACCCTGCCCCAT